ACACCACCACCGCAACCACTGTAGCACACACTGCAACACATACCACCACTGTAACACATACCACCACTGCAAAACACACAGCAACACACACCACCACTGCAACACAGACAACACACATCACCACTGCAACACACACTGCAACATACACCACCACTGCAACACACACTGCAACACACATCACCACTGCAACACACACTGCAACATACACCACCACTGCAACACACACTGCAACACACACTGCAACATACACCACCACTGCAACCACTGTAACACACACCACCACTGCAACACACACTGCAACACAGACCACCACTGCAACAAACATAACCACTGCAAAACACACAGCAACACACATCACCACTGCAACACAGACAACACACACCACCACAACCACCACCACTGCAACACACATCACCACTGCAACACACACTGCAACACAGACCACCACAGCAAACCACTGCAACACACATCACCACCAACACAACTCCCCACGACAAACCAAACCCCTGCAACCATTACTATGACTTCAACCATCTTTACCAAACCCACTGCAACCATCAGTATCATTGCAACCAGCACCATATGTAACACCAATGCTACAGCAAACACTGCCCACAGTACCAACACTGCACCCTCTGCAACACACATCATAACAACTACACCAATACTGCAACAGTCCCCACCACTAATGCAACCAGCACTGCAGTCAACACAGCCACACTGTTCATAGTCAGCCTGCTGTTTGTGATGTGGTGGAAATCGACTAAGTACATTTACTCAAGTACTTGTACTTTACCTGAGTATTAACAATTTATGCTCTATTCATATTATTGCTTCTACAGTTCAGAGTATTATTATTATTATTATTATAGTATTATTTTACTCTCATTCATTGATCGCTGTAATGAGTGGTTACTTTGCAGATTAAAGGAGTAGTTCAACAAAAGTCAAACAAACATGTATTCTTATGGTTACTGATTATACTTCTCAGTCATATTATATAGTTGATGAGTATTTTACATCACCTTGACTTTTATTAATATCACTGATATTAATATTTATGTGCCAAATATATTTAAACTTATTAATCGTATTGTGTATTCATGCTTGTGCGTAAACTGCGGGTGTGTGTGTTTTGGCGGGATGGGAGGGAGTTTTCGGGTTGGTCTCTCATCAGAGAGAGAGAGGGATTACATCACCGCCCTGTTGGATATTTGGGTGCAGTCAGAGGCGCCTTCAGTTTGGCTGCAGGAGGACCAGAGGCAGCAGGAGCCGGTGCGCCAACATGCGGACTGAGAGCAGCGACCTGCGGGGCGCTGAGCTGTCTCACCGGGACCTGCTGACCGGGGAGGCTCGGGGCTGAGTCTGGGTCATGGACTGTGAAGTTACGCGGGGAAATCCCTCTCCTGCTACCTCTCTCCCTCTCTCTCTCTCTCACTGTCCGACCTGCCAGCTGCAGTCTGAAAGTTGCTGAGAAGTTTTGGAGCGCGTCGCGCCGCGGTTAGTCTCCCGGTGCGAGCGGTGCGTCTGCTGCGCGCTCTCAGCTCAGACTTGGATACTGTCCCTTCAGACAATCCGAGGGGAACCCGGAGCGCCTTTCTCTTCTTTGTGAAGGATTATTTCTCAATATTCTGACTAATCGAGCCCGGGAACTTGTGTACAGAGGAGATGGATAACTCCTATTATTTCTTGGCTGTGTTTATGCTCGTACTCTCTCTGGGCTTCAGGATAGAGGAGGGCATGTGCCAACACTACTATCTCTTCCGCCCCATTCCCAGCGACACTCTACCCGTATTGGACCTAAAGGAGGACCCGGATCCGGTGCTGGACCCTAAGGAGAAGGACCTGAACGAGACGGAGCTCAGGAGCGTCCTGGGCAGCCACTTCGACCCGCACTTCATGTCCGTCTCCCCGCCGGAGGACAAATACGCGGGGAACGAGGATGTGAGCGACGCGGAGATGCGGCAGAAGCTCTCCGGAGCGATGCCCAAAGAGATCCGGGCCATGGAGTTCGAAGTCCAGCACGGCAAGAAGCAGAAGCCGAGCAAAAAACTCCGGAGAAGGCTGCAACTGTGGCTGTGGTCATACGCCTTCTGCCCGGTTGTTTACGCATGGAACGACCTGGGCAGCAGATTCTGGCCGCGCTACGTGAAGGTGGGGAGCTGCTACAATAAGCGGTCTTGTTCGGTCCCTGAAGGGATGGTCTGCAAACCTGCCAAATCGACTCATTTTACGATCCTGCGATGGCGCTGCCTGCAGAAAAAGGGGGGTCTGAAATGCGCCTGGATACCTGTTCAGTACCCCATTATATCAGAGTGCAAATGCTCCTGCCCGAACTGAGAATGACTCTGTAGCTGCAAGTCATTAAAGGAGGTTCATTATTATTTTTATACACAAACATACTGATCTTTACAAGCCATTCAAACTCCTCGTGACTCATAAAAACTGTTTTTCTGGAAACAAATGATGATTAAAAAAACATTTTATTCCAAATCAAATCAGATTTTTCTGCATTTTTTCAGAATATTTATATTAAAAATCTGTAAAATCTCAAACCAAAGATTTTCAGACTGAACATGAGAACAGATGACTTGTTAAAAATGGTTGTTGTTTTTTTGCAGTGCACTGTCCAGTGTAAGAATGTATATTTGATGTACATGTTTTTATTTTATGACAGAACTTTGTATAAAAAGGAAGGTCAGTATTATTAATATAATCAAATCTACTGTATTTGTTTAATGTATCTTGATTGTATCTGTTTATATTTATAATGAAGAATCAAAATGTTCATAGTGAAGCTTTTTAAAATGACTTTATGGAGCTCTGTGGGAAACATGAAGAGTTCTGCTGCAACCTCAGAAACTGAAATAAATGAAAACCAGACTAAAAGCATTAATACAGACTGATTATTATTATTATCATTATTATTATTATTATTATTATTATTGTTCAGTTTAAACCGGAACTCATCATTATCATCTTCACATGCTGTAAAATAAAAAGGGACAGCTGGTCTATAAACCACGTGAATTCGAACTCTGTGTCGCTTTATTTATTCTTCATAATAAGACAAAGTTATTTATAGATCTGGGTCAATGATCAATGTTCACATCATTTCATTAAGCACAGGTACTAATACCACACTGTCAAAATAAAAGTCCTGCATGGAAACTGTCTCTTCAGTAAAACTATCTGAGTATAATCAGGAAAATGTACTTAGCATTAAAGGTAGAATCATGTCCTCTGTGACTGTTATATATTACATAAATGGATCAGCATACTTACTGCTGTAGTTGGTTTGGGTGGAGCTGGTTTTACCTTCTGCTGATTATTTTCTTGATTAATTAATTGATTGATTGATTGAATGATTGGTTTGTAAATGTTGAGAAATGTCGTCACAGTTACACAGAGCCCAACATGAAACCTCCACAGCATTCGTTTTGTGCAATCAACAGTGAAAATGTCAGAATTATTCAGAATAAATAAAATGTTTTGCATTAAAACGACTGAAACGATGATCAAAAGTTTCCAATGAATCTGAATAATTACTAAACCGTTTCATTTCTAACAAAGCATCAAATATAATTTATAAGCTCTTTATATGTTTTGTATGTAAAACTCTTAATTGGTAAAGTGTCAGATTAATCTATTAAATGTACAATTTTTCCTCTGGAGGTAGGTGGAGTAGAAGCAGGAAGTGACACGAACAGAAAAGATAAGTACAGGAAGTAACGTCTGCTGATTATTTTCTTGATTAATTGATTGATTGATTGATTGGTTTGTAAATGTTGTGAAATGTCAGTAACAGTTACCCAGAGCCAATCAACAGTGAAAACCTCAGAATTAATAAGAATAAATAAAATGCATTAAAACGTCCATTTTTTCCTCTGGACTTGTGTGGAGTGGAAGCAGGAAGTGACACGAACAGAAAAGACTCAAGTAAAGTACAGGACGTTCATAAATGTGCCTCTACTGCTTCTTGTATTTGTCTTATTCATCAGTTAGAAATATCTCAACTACTACAATACCCATGAGCATCGGCTGCTGTTGCTATGGAGACAAAGCGGGAATCAGGGTGGCAGCAAATTCAAAACAATCAGAAAATGAACAGATTTGTGTGATCATTAGCTTCAGCTCCACATTAGCAGTCAAATGTGAAGCTCTGTGATTGGACGTTTGTTACTGAAATGCACCAAGAGCGTCGTAGTTGACTCCTTTTATGTCTTGTAGCTTTGACTCTGGACCAGCGAAGCAGATGTTGTTGAACACGATGATGTGGAACCTTTAAGTCGGTGGTGCTCAGTTTGGGAAACGGTTTCCTTGTGTTTGCACAGAAATAAAAAAAAGTGTCATGTTTTTATGTTGATCAAAGGAAAAACTGAGATTTTAATAGTTTGTTCTGGTGCAGCTTCAAAGCAGCTGCGGACGTTTCATCTCACCTGTGATCTGAAGGTATGTCAGCGATTTCGCTGATATGAAGCCTCTGTCCTTGACTCAACCTGTCTCTAATGAGACTCACAGGCCAAACGCTGCCTCACTCCAGGTCTCCTACATGGTTTGATCTGAATGTAGCAGTGAGTCAAACAAAGACACAGATGCATGCAGGTGGTAGTTTGTCTCACCTCAACCTCAGGAGCTAAATCAAACCATCAGAAGCACTTTGGGACACAGCCTCGAGTGATTCAGCTAATGTGTGTATAACCTGCAAAACGTTACAAACACACAAGAAATTTGAACTGAAACAAAAAATATCCCAACTATAAACACCTGACCAAGTGTAAAATGTCCAGTCTATAATCTCAGCAGACAGTTTGAAGTAGTGTGTCTTGTAGTCCCATACGCAAATGCAATGTGTGCGTGTATAAAGCCTGTCAATATATGTTAATATAATATATATATACAGTAAATACAGCATCCTCGATTTTCTCTGAGGGGAAACCCACAGTGTCACATTATCCCGGAGCACAGGTGCTTTGGTTCAGAGCTTATCAGCTGATGGAGAGGAGGAGGATGAGCTGAGGGCAGGGCGCTGAAAGGCGGAGGTGTGGAGGATTCAATCTGGCTCTTATCACTGCTGCAGGGTGGGCAGGTATTCAGGTCGAGGTCAAACCTGGCTTTGATGTGTGTGTGTGTGTGTGTGTGTGTGTGTGTGTGTGTGTGTGCGCGCGGTGATTGGCACTACCAGCCTGACTGAACCTCCTACATTCAGACAGGTCTGTGTTAAAGGACGATGTTTGCTGCTGTTCTATCTGATGACCTTGTTTTATTTTTATTTATAGTAATCTTTTCCCTCATCAATCTACGCTCAGTGTCAATCAATCAAACTTTATTTGTACAGCAACTTTCATACAGGTCAGTGCAGTTCAAAGAGCTTCACAGACTGATGACAATGAGATTCAATGAAATAGATTTAAAAAGCTATTCTATCGTTAGCAAACAAAAACAAGAAGAAAATGAATAATAAAAGAACAGATGGAATAGATTAAAATACAATTTACAACATAATTACAATAAAAAATGTAAATAACATAAAGTGAGTAATGACCATGATAATGAATCATATTTAATTAAAAGCAAGGATGAAGCGCTTCCATCTTATTTATTCAAAATAGAAACAAAACAAAAACATTGTCATTGATCTTTCTCTGGGGGATTGTTGGTTGTTGACGATGATTGATCACACGTTTACTTAAAGGTCCATATAGTCTAAAGGTAGATGTCCATGTGTTGTTTGATTATAGATCAGGTCTAGGTTATATAGTAATACTGTAAAAGTATCAAAGCCTCAGTCCACAGAGAAATGCACACAGCCTGTATTCAGAAACTGAGCCTTAAAACCAGCCGTCAGGACTTCTGGAACTTTGTGATGTCACAACCTCCCTCAGCCACACCCCAAGCCCGACCCACCTGGACTCACCATCCAACCTTGCAGGATTTGGGTTCTCTGAGTGTTTACCAGAAATCTGCTATATTTTTATTTGATCTCTCAGAAACCAGTAAGCCAATCAGAAGAGAGGCTCAGAGCCTCCTCTCTTCTGATTGGCTCACCGACCTGTTGTTACTAGAGCTCCAGAGAGAAGCCTGAGAGAGGAGATGTAAAACTAGATTGAGGTGGTTTTTGGTTCTTAAAACCACAAATGTATCTTATAAATCAACACTTCAAATAAAACACAGAAGAAGAAAAGGAAAAAATTTTCCAAAACTATCGAGCTCTTGGCAAAGAGGATTCTAGGATAATGGTGCTGATGTCAGTCTGAGCCGTAGTAACACACAGATCAGTGTGTACAGTAGGGACGGTGCTGAGAAAACAAACTGAGGACGGGCTCTGACAGGTGGGAGGAGTGGGCGGAGTCGGATGTCACACCGAGACGTTTCAAGGTTTTCACTCTGGTGTGAGGAGACAGTCGGCATCTGCAGCCGCCCACCGCCATGCTTGACTGCCGCCAGCATCCACCCACCCACGCACACACACACACACACACACACACACACACACACACACACATTGTAAGGCTACCACCTGATTCCCAAACTGCTTCTAGTGCTGTGTGAATGAAAAACCTTTCTCTAATGTAAAAATAGATAAATAAATAATTAAAGCTGAAAACTGAAGACAGCAACCAGCTCTGTGTCTGAATACCAGGTCCTGGAAGGACAGCAGTCTGCATCCCTGTGGATCAGAGGTTGGAGATTCCTTCAGTGACAGACCTCATCACTCAGGTGCAGTCTGACATGTTTCAAATAAAATAAATATTAAAGACCCTCTGATGAAAATCAAGTGTTTCACCTTGTCAACGTCCATATGTTTTTACATAATACTATACATGTGATGAGTGAAATAATCTATCAATACCATGACTGAGTGTTTCCACCGTGAACTGCAGTGAACCAATGACAGATTCGGTGGCTAAATACACCCGAAACCTTGTCAGTACAGAGAAAGAGTGTTAGCATTAGCACAACCACTTACACTGTGTCAGACACTGCCAGTTACAAGCTAATAAACAACATAAATAAATATAAGATGTTGACTGTTCTGAAAAGATACTAACTTCACTAACCGTTCTGAAAAGATGCTAACCGTTCTGATCCGTCTGCTAGTCTCTGGTTCTGGTCTCTACAGACTCCTCATCTGAGTCTGGGTCTGACTGAGGCTCAAACATGTGGCCTCCTCTAACCATCTTGATACTCTCTGCTCTTTCAGCTGTCCACCTGGAGCAAGCAGGTGGTGGGCGGGGCTCAAGGCCTGATCCAGGTTTCTCAATCAGGAATTAAGAGTAGATGAGCTTCAGACCCAGTTTTTATATGTGAAAACCATGTTAAACTAAACATGAATCAAG